GGGGGTGCCGGGCCCGTGTAACCGGGTGTGCGTTTCCCCCGCAGAGGAGCTGAAGGAGTACTTCTCCCAGTTCGGGTCCGTACAGAGGTGCCAGCTGCCGTTTGTGAGTACCCGCTCAGCCTCCCTTCGTGTCTGCTCGGTAAAGCGGGCCGGCCGGTGCTGGCCGGGCCCCGGCAGGGTCGGTCCTGCGGCTGGGGGGGGGGCCCCCCGACGGGCCGCCCCCGGGCCGCGTCCTTGTGCTCCAGTGGGGTTTTCGGTGCTCTCCACCCGTAGTGCCTTCTCCTGGTGGGTGCCGCCGCTGAACCCGAGCCATTGCCAGTGGCTCTGAAAGAGCTGCAGAAAGCACATCCTTCAGGTCCTGCTGATGCTGCCATTTCCGAATAATTAACCTAAAAGCCCTTCGAGCTTCTTTATCATCGTGTTATCTTTCTTCTGACAAAGAATAAAGTGTTTATGTGCCTGGTCTCGCTGCCCTAAAAAGTCTAAAGTCTCTTCCTGCTGTGGGTTCATCGCCCATCCAGGGTGCAGGGCTAACACATAACCCACAGCCTCTTCAGGATTCTCCCAGCCTGGCAGCTGTTCATGCCTCTGCCGTTTAGATTATTTATCTTCTGAGCAATTAGGTCAAGTATAATAGTATCTAGTGCATTTTCTTAGGAATGAACAGTCGAAAAAAGTGTTCCTTTCCCGCTCTGTTATGGGTTAGTTGCAGGTCCCTGCTGAAGAGTAGAGGTTCTGCCTGCTCATGTTTCTCCATGTGAAGTAACAGTCTGTTCAACTAAGCTCAGTGTGTAGTGAACTTCAGTTTCATGAGCTGATGGGTTCACTATCAGTTGAGGACTAGTTTGGAAATGGAGAAAGATAGTTTGGGACAGTCTGGTTATTGCTGAACACTGAAGCAGAGGCGTCTGCCTGGCACGCTCTGTTCCTCAGGCCCGGGACAGAATGTGTTGCTTCACTGCGAAGGCTGGCAGCTTACCGTAAACCTGTCTCCGTCACCAGTTAAAGCTGAACTGATGCACATGTGTATGTTTTGATTCAGTGATTAGCAACATTCATTAATGCTTAAAACAGCCAGAGGTACAAAAATCTGCCAACAGTGTAAAACACCCTAATTAAGAGATCGCTGGGATACGAAACTGCGCAGCGCGACTACAGTACCTGGTGGGTGAAAACTTCACTGGTGGTTGGAAGTGCTGGCAGTCACGCCTGAGGATCAGGGAGTTCTGTGGCAGAGCTGTTGTCAACTCTGATGGAGATCAGAGTTGGGATAAAAGGCACTTTGAGAGACCTGGCTTTTCTGCATTATCTCCTCTTTATTGACAACTGTCTCTTCTGACTGACAAATTATTCTTAAAAATAACTATTTTTTTTTCTTTTCAGTGCAGTTAGTGCTTGTCATCCTGAGTTGCAGCCTGCTTTCTTAGTATCTTAAGCAGCTGCTTTATCTTTTGAATGCTTCAAGTACTGTGGCAGACTTGTTTTCAAATCAGACAGCCATTTAAATGTTAGTTCTGTTGTGACTGGCTTAATATTAGATAACTGCTGTAGTTTGAAACAACCAGCTATGCAGTATTCCAGTCTTCAACTGTAAGTCGGGATCTTAATTTTTATGATTGCTGGACTTGAGAGGAGGGGATGCACAACAGCCTCTGCTAGGCCCCTGCATGCTCTCAATGAGAGCAAACATCTTAAATTGTGAAAAAGGCTTCTGAAACAGCAAATGTGCCAAGTTCTCTGATAATTTCTGAATCCTTAAATTGAATATCCATAAAAAGTTTTTAACAGCGTATGTGACTATTTTTGACAGTAAGTGTATTTTATTTTTTTGAATGGGTTACTAGAACAAAGATACAGGCTTTCACAGACGTTACTGCTGGATCAAATTCTCGACTCCACAAGAAGTTCAGAATGTGTTTCAGAAGGACTCCCACATACTTGAAGGTGCCAAGGTAATGTGCTAATGCCTTTAATGAAGTAATGTAATGAGTTGAGCTCTTTAATTTTGCCTTTGGTTGGACACAGTAACATGAAAATATTGCTAAACTCATTCCAAGTGTGATAGAGCATTTTGACACTTAGTGTTCTTTTAATGTTTTTTAAATCATTAACACTTTTGTTTATTCCCCCCTCTCAGCTCATTAGGGTCTGAGATCATGTAGGTACCACAGAGATCACGTAGCAGAGATCAAAACCTCCTGCTATGCTCAGCTAAAGGAATATGTGTGTAGTAAAACTGTTCAGGGGCTGCCATGCAGCCAGTTATGATTTGTAATACAGGTTTCTGCAGGTGGATTCCAACATCTAATTTGGATGTTGGGTAGCGGGGGGAAGATGACAAAGAATTTAAAGCTAAGCTTTGAACTTAAGTGAAATTTTTCTTCAGCTGTCACTTCATACAGGAAAAACTTTAAATTAGCTTCAGTGTCGCTTTTTTTTTTTTTTTTAAGTGGCTGTCTCTAACATTTTAAATGTCAGTAAAGGGAAAAAACCCAACACTTTGGCAATCTCAATGCATTAGGTGATTGCCTAATGGAACTCAATGATACCATACTGGTATCAAGAGATGGTGTACACCACCAGTTAAACCCCTTTGGTCTAGTACCCATACAGAGGAGTCTGTCATCAGCTGGTCAGTTGGAGCCAGACAACTGTATCATCTAGCTTCACTGCAGCACAGAGCAAAGAAACGTCTGTCCCACTGCTTTCCAACACGTAGGGTGCAGTGATGTTGACAGTGAGTCAGTGGCTGCCCAAAGCCATTAATAAATTAACAGGTCTCATGTCAAAATCAGTAGAATCTTGCATCTAGTATGTTCACTAAATAGGGGCAAATTACTAAGGGGATTTTCTTACAGACTTACATGTGTTGCAGCTGACCTAACTACTCAGACTGAGTAGTACAGAGCAAACCATGAGCAACAAGCAAGCTGGTATAACAGACATGATCAGTTCATGTCTTTGAATAATTAGTAAGAATTTTTCAATATCCTTCTGACAACCAAGTTTCTCTTTTTGAGACTTTTAATGCTAGGAGATGGTAAAGAGTAAAATGAATTGGCAAGAGACTTCAGGGATGCAGTACGCTGATTGTGAGAAAGTATGTTGCTTGACATGGTTCGTACTACTGCAGAAGTCTTCATTGGTCATGGTTACTTCAGTATGTATTCCTAAGAGCTGACCTGTGAGCTACAACTGTGGTACAAAAATGGAAGCAGAAATTAAGGAATGGTTTGTTGACTTCAGTCTTAAAACTGTGACAAGCCAGGCAATAGGCTGATCCCTCAAATTGGGCTGAAAATAACTAGGATGTTCATCTGTATGAAATTATCGAAATAAGTACTAGCACTAGCAGAGATGGGTACTTAGTGTCAGCTTCTTGGAAATTATTCTGCTGCTTTTTATTCTTGAAGATGTAAGATAGCCACATTCACTTAATGGCCTAGGCTTTGAGGACTGTACTCTAACGAGAGGTGCAGGAGCCAAGAGGCTTCTCTGCAATGAAATAAAGAGGAGAAGGCAGGCAGTACTTTCTTCAAAAATGCAAGCTTCTCTAGAAGCACAGTTTGTTCTAGGCTAGGTTTAGACAGTTACCTTCTGTTAGTTCCACTTGAAAGCACAAGCTCTTAAGATGCATTTTGCTGATGCAATGAGCAGTTGCTGTGCAGATTACATTCAGCTTTCCCGTCAGGAGCTTAGCATGTGCGGTTATGGCTCTGAACCAGTTATAAACCTATCTTCTGCTTTCCCTGTGAATGTTTTAAAAGATCAGAAATGAAAAATGTCAAACCTTCTTGCATAACTAATTTGAGTCATTTCCATTGTTTTCAGCTCACTCTCAGACACCAGACCCGTAGAAGACGCAGTCAAAGACAGAATCAGAGTGAGTGAGTGGTGGAAGGAGGCTTTATTTCACTAAATGTAAAGAAACTAAAATAAAGATTACTGAGAAACTATGAATGAGTATTGTTTTTAAAACATAATCCAGCTGTTGCCCCTCCTTGTTCAAATAAACCACACTAAAGAAACGCAGAATCATAAACTCCCTAGCATCCATTACAGCATAAGACAGTAATTATATACAGCAGGAAAGCTTTTAACAGATGAAGTTAAAAGCTTTAGTTACCTACAAAAACTAAAGCTGTAGGAAGGGACTGCATTCTCACCCTGAGAAGCTGGGCAACAAGGAATCAGCAAAGTCAGAGCACGTGCCAAAGAATAATTCCCTTGTGAAATGTTTTGAAGTGCTCTCCATTCCTCCACTCTCCCGGGGAAGCTGTCTTATGTAGAAGAATTAGTATGTGTATATATATCCACATGACAAGACTTGTGAACTGCTGCATTACAATGCCATCCCCCTGTACACCTCTGATACTAAAAACGCCTTTTGCATCAAGTCCAAGCTTGTAGTCCATTTCTCTACCTCTCAAGGAGCAGAGGTATTCAGTCCTTCCTCCTCTTTTTGCTCTCGTGCTCGTGTTCTTTAGGGCGGCTGCTATCCGATGGCCGTTTAGAACCGCCGTGCTGCTTCGCTTCTTCCAGAAACTTGTCCAAACCAAATGGATCCTCCTCAAATTGAACTGGTCCATCTCTGCCCCTCCCTCTGGTGTTACGATCTGAGTTGGAAAACTCTTTGTCAGGAACAAACCTGCAGGAGAAGAGATAACACTCAGTTCATTGTAACGTCAGAATACTAATTAAGAATATTTCTTAACTTTTTCTTCTTACCTATTGGTCTTTATTCGAGCCTCTAGATCATCACCGTACACGTCCTTATCCAAATTTTTACTTGGCCTGTAGATGTTTTGGGCCATATCCTTGCCACTTCTCCAAGGCTGGTCATAAACATTGTAAATTTCATCCTCTCCCCCAGCAAAGCCACTGTCCATGCCCTGTGAAGAACAAAGAACAGCAGTGTAACCAAATGAGTCTGTAAAACTTCAGCTATTTTAACATCAAGATACACTGATGGTATCACACAGATACTCCAAGATGGTATTGTGTGATTTACTGTTGATTTCAAATGAGTTCAAGCACTTGATTAGAATATGAGTGGTTTTGAGTCTGCCATTAAGTCCAGAGAATGTGACACAATCATTACCAGCCTTGGTCAGAGCCACTTCTACTCTTCCAGAAAGCAACAGGAATTACATGCCATTCATATTTCAGAATAATGGATCATTTCAGTCTGCCTTGTGAGTACAGCTGTCTCTAACAGTCAAGTACAGCCATACAGAAATGTGTATTACTCAGAATTTCTGGAAAACATGATTTAAGCTGACTGATCCAAATCACACAGCAGCTTATGTAAACTGTGAAAGCACAAGTGCCTGCTTATTCACTTTTGATTCATCAGCTTTCCCTTCTGCCTGCAAGTCTTTCACTGGAGATGTGAAAAAGAATGATTGACAAACTGCAGGTCTATTCAGGAACTTTCTGAAAGCCTAATCTACTTTTTAATCTCTGAATAGTATAAAGTTCAGGGAAAATAAACGTTGCTGTTAACTATTTATACTTCAGAAGGATTTTTAACATAAGCAATAGTGGGCATAGAAAGCATTTGCTTCCTTCTCTCTCAGAGCAGATTTCCCTTATTCAGTCAGAACATTTGTACAAAAGAAGAAAATTAGGTCGCTGCAGCTTGAAGGCAAAATAGATTCTTTCTGCCCACTTCCCAGTGAGAAAAACCACAACAAAACCACTTTAATCCAGTTATACATTCAGAATATGCCATTTTTGTTGCATCAGCTATGGATAAAGGAGATCAACAGTTTCCGAACCAGTTATGTAGAGACTTCTTTCAGAGTGTATCCACATCAACCATGAGAACAGGGTCCCTTTGGTATTCTAGCCAGACCCACTAAGGAAGGATGAGCATATTCTCTCAGGAAGCTGTACAGCTGTGAAATGTATTCTTACCTTGCTCTGGTTGAACAGCCTCTGGTCGTACTGGATTTCATTGGATGGCCTGGGGTTGGGTACCCCTAGGGCAATAACTTCACTGATATCTCTGTTCTCATTTCTCTGCAGCTTCGACCTGTATTAAAAAAATAAAGTTTTATTACGTCAGTAAACTCTATTTGTTGACATGCCCAACTGCAACCTGATCCTGTATTAGCTGCTAACAATTTGCCTCAGGAGCCAGGTTTTGACTGTTGCCCTTCCTTACTAAGTAACATTTAAAATTTGGCTCCTGGCAAAGGAAACGTTTTGGAAAGTTATGTTCAGCTGGGCCTGACATTTAAATTTGCTTTCCACTATCTGCAATTTACATCAAGCTGACTTGGGCTAAAATGTCATTTATTTTTTGCAAGAACCAGTGTAATTATATTCTGGCAAGGCCAAGCAATCTAATTTTAAGATATTAGACATTTTAAGCCTCTAGAAACCACTTGTACTCAGAAATCTCACTGGCTTGGGCAAACAAGATACTTCAGCCTACTCATAAATCTAAGCATACTTCAAATGAGCAGCTTCAAGAAACAAAGCCACTAATGATACTCCAGTCTCACTGAAGTTATAGGATCCAGGTTTCAGCCTTTGCTGTCAGCATGTTAATTAAATCTGAATATACTGAAGTTCTGCTAAAGAAAAACTCACCCCAGAACAACAACCCCCCATCTCCATTCATCTGGAAAATTCTAAATTTAGAAGAGAGTACTGCAGTATGCTAACACAGTAATGCCATTTCATACAATGAACAGTGCTTCATACAGTGAGTATCTCCACAAGGTAAAATTCAGGCACACACATCAGGCAAAAGGAAGCCCGGTGTAAGAGTTTCCCTGCTGGGGAAGCCCGTGCCAGCTAAGGAGTAAAGCAGCTTGCTTTTGTGACTCACCTTTTGTCAGGGGCTGCCCTGGAAAGATTTCTGTCATGCTGTCTCTCTTTGCGCCGGTCATGTCTGATTTCATCTCTTTCTCTAGCTTCTCCATCCTCTGAACAAATGCAAGATTGCTCATTATAGACAAATATTTGAAATCTGAATTAACTATGCCACAGACGTTGGCACAGTGATTCAATTCAGTATTCTTTTACAGAAGAGAAGTGGCCCTCAGAACTATCTAACGTGTTACCCTTTAAACAAACTGAACACATGGAAAACCACAGCTTTCAATTAACCGTCCTTGACAAGAGTTAAAGCAGACATATCCAACAACTATGTTTTCTCAGCTTTCAAGAGCTTAGAATACTTTTCCATCTAGGAATTAGTATCCCAAAACACCTACAGATCATCGTATCATACTTTTATCTCTTAAATGTAAAAATATCATTCAAGCATGCAGGCATCTAAGAGCTTTGAGGAACATTCTGTGACTCAGTATCAGAGAAGCACTCAGGGCGGAAGGGAGCCTCTAGTTCAACCTTCTGCTGAAAGCAGCTTCAATGCTGAATTCAAACCAGATTGCTCAGGGCTTTGCCCACTCAGGTGGCAAGAACCTCCAAAGACAGAGATACGCCAGCCTCCCTGGGCAACCTGTTCCACTGCTGCTTGTCTTCATGGTGAAAATTTTTCTCCTCACATATATTTGCAACCTCCTGCTTCAACTTTTGACCACTGTGTCATTCTTCCACTGTGCAGCTTAGTGAAGAGCTCTGATGACCTCCTTGTAGATATGGGAAAGATCCCATTAGGTCCCACCTAAGCCACATCTCCTGGCAGAACAAGCTTCATTCTCTCAGCACGTCCTGACTAGGCAGATAACTTGAGTCCCCTGACCATTTTCATGGCCCTCCACTAAACTCACTCCAGTTTATCAATGCCTGTCTTGTACCTGGGGGCCCACAACTGCACACAGCCTTCCAGATGCAGTCTAACAGGTCACCAGTAAAAGGAAATGATCACTTCCCTTGGCCTACTGGTTACGTTCCTGCAGGTGCAGCTTCCTATGCCCCTAGCATTACTGCTGCCAGGGCACACTGCTGGCTTACATTTAGCATATTGTCCACTAGGACTCCCAGGTCCTTTTCAACAGAATATCTCTCTGGCCAGCCAGTCCCCAGCCTGCTGGCCATCCCAAGGTTAGTCCATCCCAGCTGTAGGATTTTGCATTATATGACCATATTGTCTACCTTTTAGAAAATCATAACTGCTTTGTAAGTTCAGCATCTTGATCTTTGAAGTGTCATTTCAATCAAAACATAAGACTTATCACAATGGTTATGACTTAGTTCAGTTAGCAGTTTTTGGGCCTAGTGACCAACAGAACTACAGCTCTGCAAGATCAGCTGTAACAGTGCAAGAGACAGAATATTGCATTTAGCAGCTTTGAAAGGTTAAAAGATGGTTTAGTTCTTGTAAACAAAGTTGCTCTTCATCTGCAACAAACCTTGTCTAAAAAAAAAAAAAGATTTAAAAAATTAATTTTAGAATAGTCCATGAAAGCCATTACTTGCACTGATCCATTAACTCTGAAATTCTCAGCAATGTCCTAAACCTGTATACACAGACATACTGTTGTGCAGTTCAAATCCAAATCCCATCAAACCAGCCAGTGAATTAGCTAGACTCACTGGCTGATCAAGTAGAGACATAAAGAACAGGTGTCATGCTTAGAAACTGTAGCTAATATTTAGGTATTACAAGTTCTCAGATTATTTCTCCAAACCCGCATTTCAGAGAGTGCTAAAAAAACCCCATCAAAACCCCACAACAAAAACACAACCCCATAGCTTCTTAGTAACAAAGAAACATACCTTTTTCAACATGGGTTTTGATCCCTGCTCTTCTCTCTCTGGCTTTCTGAGCCATTTCTCGAAGCTTTTCCTCATGTTTTTCCTTCTCTTTCTGAGCCATCTTTCTCTCCACCTGGGCACGCATCTCTACTGCCTCACGAGCCTGCACGCATAAGGCATAGTTAAAAAGAGAAAGCTAGCACCTGGGATGCAAG